ATAGGTGTAGAGTGTGGATATAAGAAGAGCAGTTGATAAAGATATACTCAAATTATAGGCCCATGAAAAGATAAAAGTTGAATGGAATGACTGTCTAGGAACCCTTCATAAATATCTAAACATTTAGAGAGAGTAAAAAGGTATTGGTGATGCCGTACGTTAATTGAGTAACCTTCTTCCATACTTGAGGAGAGAAGCGAAGAGATATTATAGAATAACATTATACAATCAACACTATTCCTAACGGCTTTCAAAACAAAGTGGTAAAACTCCGATTTCTTCTTGTTCTGCTATCGGAGAGGTAGACAGTGATTTCCACCCTTTGTCAATATTTCTTAAAAGCAGACCTGTGAAATGGCGGAATAGAGCAATCTGCTCAACTTGCTTCGCAAACTTCTACGGCTATATCTGATCGCAGCTAAGATATGATGATCATCATCTTCTTAGCTGTTTGTGGAACTAGATTCGAATGACAAATTCATCCTAACATTGTCTTTATTCCTCTTCCAAACAGTCATCAAACCCCTTCCAGAACACGCCTTTTTGTTGAAAGCGTAAAAATTATAAAAAGACACAAATGAAGTTCTACAGGTACACTCTTCATGAACATCTTAGCATAGCAGGAGAATCCCATGAAAAGCAAAGCGCACTATCTCATACTTCATTGAACATCAGTTTTCGTAAAAACGAGATAAGAAACTCAATTATTCATGCACAGTGCATGGGACTATAAACATCTGTACCATCTTGAATGATAATTTGAGAGTCTGTGTGACGAAGCTAGGTAGAATCAAGAAACTCTCATGATGTACTTACAAGTAACCAGATATTACGAATCAAAACCTTAACCATGATACTTCAAAAGAAGGCAAAATGTCGAGACAGTAAGTTCTTTCTTCGCCTCCATAGTTATTAATGTGTTTGCAAAATATATAGTCTAAAGTGTTTGAAGGATTTAGCTTGTTGTTATTTCTCAAGGGCTACAAAAAACAGGAATATGACAACAGACGGTTAAAAAGGACTCAATCGAGCTTTTAAAAGA